AGCTTTTTTAGCTGAGTCAGCGAATCTGCTCGAATATCACAGTATGCTCTCATATTCGCCTATTCGCGGTGACTTTCCCAGGCGCCTGCGCCAAGCTGGATTTCCAACACGCAATTTCAAAGTGCACCCGCGCCCAAAATATTAAGTATACGCCAAGTGCAGCCGAGCAAACAGAGAACCTGAGGATTGCCCGCCCGACAGCTAAGCGGAGCAATCACATAAATCAATAACTGAAGCTGATCGGGCTGTTATTGTTGTTTTTGCTGATGATGCGAGTCAACAGACTTCTCAGGGCAGACCCGTTAACCGGCTCGTTAGGGTGCAGGAGCCGCAGTCGCCGTCGCAGTCGCCGTCGCCGTCGCAGTCGCAGTCAGTGGCATTGCCTTATCAGTCAACAAGAGTGTGGCCCCGCCCGTAGTGGCGCGCCTAATGAAACTGTTATTGACAGCGCATAAATATTTACATTTGTCATCTGAGCGCAAGATATTGTATCTGTATCTTAAATATTCTGTATCTGTAGGTACATGCGCGTATCTGCACCCACTTTCCCAAGCAAATATTAGCTTTGTACATTGCAATAATTGTAATTAATGAGACTGCCGCAGCTGCTGCTTCAACTTCTGCGGACTCTTATCGCTGCCAAAAGCGAATTCATTAAAATATACTATAAAAATCACGCGCTCCCAGCTGAGACGTGCAATTTGTTGTACATATGCATCTCTCGCTGACCGCCGGCCACATGGTCGATACTCTATTCACAACTAAATGAATCAAACGTCATCATCGTCAGCATCGCCGCTATGATCATCATCAGTGTCAGCGGTTTTTGTTTTGACCTCCAGCAACAATAGCTGAAAGAAAAAGAATACGAAGAGCAGCTCGCTCTGAGATTCCAATACCAGCAGCTGACTTCAGATACTTTCCCCGCCAAGTTGCCGGCTGCCACTTTGCTGGGCCTAAAACCAGTAGCCAGTAACCGGGTAGACACCAGTTGGTAATTGATGGAGCCTCGTCTGGTCAGAGACAGCTCCAAGAAGAGTCGATGGCAATCATGATTAGGCCTTGGCAATTGATTGCCGGTTTCTATGTGGTTGTTTCTTCAAATATGTTAATTCTGCAATACTGGAAAATGTTGGCAGATGGGTTGGCAAATATAAATCATAATATATATATAATTATATATACATAATTATTGCACCCCTTTAAATATCTTATAAGAACTAGAAAATCAGTTTTTAAGCAAATTAAAATCGAATTATACGCCGCAAATATAATAACAGCAATAATAATAATATCAAATGAGTTGCATGGAGCTTCTTCTGCTGGTTACATTGATTTGCACAAAAGCATGATGCCCTTCTTTCGACCTATTGACATCTACAGGGTCCTCTGCAAGGGTATATAAATTGCTGAATTATTTGAAAATAAAACTAAACCTTTCCAGTTTATTCGCCGTATCATTTACTAATTGCTTTTTAATTATGTAAATATATTATTGCAACGTCTTCTCTGTGCCACGGGTCAGTTATGGATCGGAACAGATCTTCCGACGTGCAAGTAATACGATCGTTGACTGCAAATGATCGCTGAGGGCACACAATAATTGCAACAACATTAAGTAGGAGCTCCCTAATTGGGAGTGCCCGACTTCGGGATACCCTTTACCTGGGCCGAGCTGCTGTTACCACAAATTTGAACTTTCTATAAAACATCTCTTTGGACGTTTTTTTTCCCTCAGAACCACACTACAAAAAATGCATTCTTGAATAACTTCGGTGCTTATAGTCCGATCCTTGTGAAATGTTCAGAGTGTGTACAAAACAAAGCCCCAGGTTATGAGGTTACTAAAAAATGAAATATTCAGGACCTATGTGCTCTATACGAGAGCATACATACCAAGTTTAGTTCAAGTTCCAGTTCCCAAATAGGTTCTTGAGCCAAAGCAAAAATCGATACTTATCGAGTTGTGCGGGCAATTGGCGAACCTACATTCTCATATTGAAGACTCTAGCTTTTAAAGACTCTGAAATCGATGCGATCATACGACTGATCGTCTCGGTCGGTCTATAATACCCTATTCTTTTGCAAGGGGTACAGGGTATTCCAGAGTGAACCGCTTGCTTAGTTGGACTCTAGCAGATTGAATTGTGAATTGTATATTGTGAATCTTGTGGGCTGCGCGAACCGGTTAGCCCAAGGGAACGAGCCAAAATGAGACCTATGCATTGCGAACTTGGCAATTACCACAATGCACCATAGATAACAATCACAAGAGCTGCAGACAATGTGCTGTGAGCTGTTGTTGATGTTGTTGTTGCTCTACTCGTCTCATATTGCGCATACGCAGCGTTGCCGTTCGCCGTTGACAAATTCTCAGTTTGCAGTTTCTGATTTACAATTTGCCATTTGCTGCTCTTACTTCGTTTTTCCGCTTTCCTGTGCACTTTTCCAGTTATGCTTCAACATTTGCCCGGTGAGGTTCGCTTCGTGGCGGTTTCAGCTCGCAAAATTCACTTCAGTTTCGGTTTCAATTCTGAGTGGTCGATCGTCGATCGTTGTTGTTGTTGTTGTTGTTGAGAACCAAATGCTGGCCCCCAAAGTGTTAATTGGCAGGTGTCCAGCTGCCCCTTGGTACTAGGCAGCCGGCAACTCGCCGGCCAATTTGTTTATGTGTCTATTTATATAAATAAATATAAAAAAAAATTAAATAAAAACAATAGAATTAATTGAAATTATCGCTCAATGTGGCAATAAAAACAAGCAACAACAAAACAAGCAAAAAAAAACACACGTGCCCCTGCCTCTCCCCGCTACCCGCTACCCATTTCCCTTGCCCCACTATCGCCAGCCTCTGGCGCCATTGACGTTGCGGCTTATCAGCTGCCTCTCAAGTACACTCGAAATTCTCGTGATGCACACACGCAAATTGCCACCATCTACCCCCCCCCCCCCCCCCCACCATCCACTCCAGCACCGAGTTGTTCTCTCTCTTCGGCGTTAGGAACCCCCAGCATCAATGCATATTGATAAATTGCAATTGTGCAGCTGTTTCGGTCATTGTTGTTGTTGTCGTTGTTGTCGTTGTTCTCGTTGCAGCTGCACATTGAGTATACGCCGCATTGGCCGGCCTCCGTCGTTGAATGCGATCTATGTTCCATCGCGAAGCAAGTCCCTGTATGAATTTGCATATATAATGTTTATTTATTCAAATGTAAATTATTTCGATCAGTTTCTAGTTAAATAAAGGCATCCATCAAAAGTAGCAGCTGTACAAAGTTAATATAGAAACCATAGAAACAAATATTCCAAATTCCTTTCCTCCACAGTCCGACTAATGAAATAGACCGCCCTTAATTAAACAGACAAAAGGCTATGTTCTAGAAGGACTTTAAAGCAAACGCTTTCTTTGCGACCGATTGTTCCTATCGGAGCCAAGTCTGATGCATTGTGAAGCCCTCGAATGCCAGGTTGGGTCAAGATATCTCGACAACTAGCTTACCTTATTGCCAGACTAAAAGCCCTTTTGTCAATCTTGGGGAAAAACCTGTATCGATATGAGTGAGAGTTACAAGTAGAACTAAAATAATATGCACGTATGCAAATGGAATAGCAAATGAGCACAGCGCAAGACGTAAAAGCAGAGTTTTCAATTATTGAATATACAGAGAAAGAAAAGTGCAAAACATTATAAAGCCGATGACAACAGCAGAAATAGACGACTTTAAATGAATTTCACCATAATTGATTGTGGCCTTCCAATGAATTTCTATTTCAAGCGAGGTCGGTTTAATTTTTTCCCACCGTTCGTCATCCCAACTCCTACGTAACTCGGCTTCCACTCAATGAATTCATCGGATATTAACGACTTGAGAAATCAGATCCAATAGGGAATTGGTGTCCCAATTCTCACAATTTTAACTCTCTTGGAACTCCTCTTGGAATTGGGGACTCTCTACCTGTACCTTTACCCAGCTGCAACTCAACACTCTTAACTTTGGTCACTTTTTCGATAGGTAACCAATAATTGTATGTGAACAGTTTCCAGCTGATAAGCACGGCTACAAAAAAAAAAAAGAAACCCAAGTTAGACAATTAATTGTTTTTGCTAGCAAATGGTCTTGGATACTCTTCATATTGAATTCATTGAACAACATGCAAATAAAACAATCATAAAATACCCAATTGATATCAATAAAACGCAAGCGTTCAAGTAGCCAAAAGACAAATCGAATTCGAACCAAAATGCGCGCCGTCTACGACTTATTGCTGAGCAACGCCTTTGATCCCAGGTATGCACATAAGATACAAGTCACACCAGTCCCGATACAAATACCTGCCATCTATGATACATCCACGTGAAACAGGGTCTGCAAGCTAAGAAAAAGATAGTCGGTGGTTCGAACCAACTGCCTGCCTTTAGGCTCAACGCTCACGAACTGAGCCTGTTTTCAACATTGCTTTGATTCCAAACAAAAATAAACACATTTTTAATTTGTAAATGCCCTTGCCCATTGACGGCTCTCAATTTTATAAAATCGATTTTAAGACAGAGCTTGAGCTAGATACATTTTTATGAGTGGAGCCTCGGGTTTTTGGTAACTTAAGACCTGCTAAGATCGGACCTTAAGCACCGAAGTTATTCAAGAATGCATTTCCCATACAGGTGCAGCTTGTGGTGTATGCATGAATAAAAGGAAAATGGAATACTTCCAAGGGGTATTAACTAAACGATTACTCCCGACTGGAGCACCGTTTTTTATTGATATGCATCCTCTAAGCGTAACTCAAAGCTGGAATTTTCAAGGCACATATAATTCATAGATATGTCTATCTATACCATACCAGATATGTATGATATAGATATGTGTGACTGGGATTTATCCTATATACCCATAGCATAATTAATCCTGACTTTAAGTAAGCAGATCTATTAAAGTTGAATGCATTTCAGATGACACTTTTTTATTCTCTCGTTCTCTCTCTGTCTCTTTAATTAACAGCATGGTGCTACAGAACCACAACACCGTGGTGGCCCGCTCCACGCTGACGCCGAACAGCAGCAGCCAGAACTTCGGCTCTCACTCGCAACATGGCGGGCAGACAGTGGGCGGAGGACGTAGCCCTGGCAATGCGGGGCCAGGTAACCAGCGTCCGATTGTGGATCTGCTTGTGGCCATGGTGGCGGTGCCGGTTCTGATACTGTGCGCCCTGCAGCTGGAGAAGAATCTGCATGACATGCACGACAGCCCCGAGTCCCGCTGGCTGGTCTTTGCCCTCGGGATCGGCATGCTGGTCATAAGCGTGATCATCTGCGGCTATGTGACACATCGCATGGGCGTCTGCATTTGGGCCGGGCCCATCGACGAGGCGGGCAATCGTGCCGGCAATGGCGCACTGCATCACGTAAGTGTTAATAGCTATGATACGACCTGCGATCTGCATACTCACCATGGCAAGATCATTACCTATCTTACAGATCAACTCCCAGAACGATGTGCTACGCATTGTGGACTCTTTGCCGCCGAGCTATGACAGTGTGGTTAAGTGTGATCTGCCCCCGCCGCCCTACGACTGTGTGGTGATCGATGTGGAGCAGCACAAGGACATGCAGCCGCAGACATCCGCCAAGGATGAGCGCCTCTCTCAGGCGGCAGCCGGTTCCATTTCTGTTGCCATGCCAGGTGCAACACTGCACATCTAAACGGATTGGCGGAGAGAAGCACCGAGGAGAACGAGCAGGGGAAAGGGAGAGCTGATGCGACCACAAAAGAAGAAGAGGAGAGAGAAACAAAGAGATTTTTCGCTTGTGGCATTGAAATTGACTAGAAATGGGATTTGTACTTCAACTACACTACGCTGACGCCATCTATCGGTGGCCTCTGGCTATTGGCTAACCAAATGGCGTTGTATTTACTTCGATTTAAGATCTTAGAGTATTGTATATCCGTGTACATATATGTACTTTGTTTTTTTTTTTTACTTGGTCTATGCAGCATTGTAAATATTCCTAAACAGCATCTAGTCCAAAGTTGTACATAACCTAAAACACAAAAACAAACAAAAAAAAAACAAGAACTAGGGATCTAGAGAAATGCGCAATACATTTTGTATTTACTAGTTATTTAAATGCCAAGATTGTAATGGGAGAAGCGGGCGACAGATGGCAGGGGGGTTGCATAGCAGTTATCAATTACCACATAGTCTGTACTTTTATAATTTATATACTTAAAAACATACTAAATATATACAACTACCTATACATATGAATATGTGTGTGCCTATCGAGAATTTGTACGCATTACTTATTGAAAAAGTTTACTTTTTAGCTGATTTCCAAAATAAAGAATTCCTATTAATATTAACTGCAAGACTCAATCCTTTCCATTAACTCGCATTCAACTGTTCAAAAATTTAGAAAATATTCTAATAACTTGTGTTCAACATATCACACATGATTTTATCTGCTGAATTCCCACCCACCCGCAACTTTGGAATCTGATCGGTTTTAAACTCAGGTTCAATAAGTATTTAAACAAAATGTAAAGCTGGCCGACTCGAGGACGATGTTGATCATGTAAACCAACAAGATATAAACACCAAAAGCAAGTATTCTGTAAAGCTATTTCAAGAACCTCTCACTTCTATCATCAGCAGACTGTGCTAAAGACTCAAGAGTGCCAAGTCTTTTATCTCCGGCTTGAAGCCATAACTCATTGAGAATTTAAGCAACGTAAAAACGGCAAAGCCAGTAAACATAAATCCATTTGTAAGTGAGCCCCATTTCATCATCTTTTCATTATTGGTTGGTATGACCAGCATTTACCTTGAGACAGCAGCAAACAAATTTTACGTAAATATTAAATTTGTTTACAGCTGAACATTTATAAAGAAAGACTGCACATGCAAAGCTAGGTAATGCCTGTTAGCTAGTAACTACATTTGGTTAGATGTGCAGAAAAGCATGGAAGCCTCAACGGTAAGTTCAAAATCTATCGAATCTATCTCTCTCTCATTCTTCTTTTCCCGAAGCTCCAAGATTAGGGATTCATAGCAGTCCTTCTACTTGAAAATACATATTTTGGATGGGTTCAAGATAGATACAACAGATTCCGTTAATTGATCCAACATATGCCGCCAACAACTTCCTGGATGTTATGTATGTTGCAGGATTCCATCTTGATTGTCGTGGACAAGGCAAAAATCTCGATATCACTAAAATTTTGCAAACTGCATTTATTTGTTGTTGGTTGTTGTAGTTGTTTTTACTCACAATCAAATTTTGAATTCCTGTGTTTTGTTTGTGTTTTACAATAATTCGTGTTCTTTGTTGTTGTACAATACATAAAAAGAAATATGTGTGTGTGTGTGTATTTGTGTGACGTGGTTTTCGTATATATTATATATAGACATATATATATATATAAAGGTGTAAGTATATTGATAATGTAAACATGACTCGACTATTTTAGTGTGTCGCCTGCCGCTTCTTCTGCTGCTGCTAATGTTGTTCATTTGTTTTTGTTGTTTGCTGTCATTGTTGTTGTTGCTGCTGCAGTCACAGTTGCCGTTGTATATGTCTTTGTTGCTGCCGTTGCCGCCGCCACCATCGCTACTTGACCAACGCCTAACGCTAAGTTTGGCGATCTCACTGATGTATACATGTATAAATATATATATATATATATATATATAAATATGTTTGTATATGTACGTGCCTGACTGCGTGTGTGTGTGTGTTTGGTATACAAAATTTATGTGAGAAAGGACATGGTGTTTTTGGGGGGTTGGGTGTTGGGGAGGGGGGAAGGCAGCCTGCAAATTGCGAAAACTGAGCGGACGATCAATAACTATTGCATCTAGCCCGCACAAGATCATATACATATATAGTATATATATATACATATAGATATATATGTATAAGTATTTATACATATTTACATACACATATATATTTTTATATCTATCTGGAGCTAACTGATTTTAGAAACCATCCAATTAACTGAAAACCCTTTCATCTCGTGCGCTCAGGAAATTAACATTGATTAGAGTGTGCCCTAAGCAGAGCCTGTTGATTATATAGATTATAGATTACAGTTTACAGATTACATTTTTTTTTGAGATTACAAATGACATTTTTATATACAAGAATCAAGAATCCGTTGGCGCATAAAAAAAATACAAAGGAACGCAATGAACAACGAGCAAATGAAGAAGCAACAACATGCGTTTATTTTGTTGTGGAAGCTGGTTTTAAATTATTCGTATCTGTTTTCTCGGGGACGGTGGATCTGATTTTTTTGCCTTTTATTTTTTTATATATAGTTGCTGCCCTGTCTGTTGGCAGGCTTTGTAACTACACAGTTTTTAATATAATAACTAGGGGAGAAACAATCGTTCGGCCTGCTAATCAAATTATCAACAAGTTTTTCTAATATTACAAAAAAACAAAAAAAAATATAGATACATATATATATATATATATATATATATATATATATATATATATATATATATATATATAAATATTCATATATATATATATTCATATATGTATAAGAAAAACAACAACCAAACACGCAACTTAATATTTAAGTGGTTCCAGGGATAGGGAGCTGGATTGATGGGGTGCTAGCTTTCGGGAATTGTATCCGAGTTGGGTTTGGTGGAGCGTCGGTGTGGTTGCGGTTATGGGTGTGTAGGTTATAATTGTGATTGTGGGTGGGGCGCACACAGGATTAGTAGTAGTAAAATGCTTAGACGTATAAATATGCTCTCCTAATTTGTAATAATCACATTAACTGTCGCCGCCTTTGTCATCGTCGATAATGCTATCGCCAACGACAATGCTATCCTTGTCGTTATCGTTACCGTTACTGTTATCGTTATCGTTATCGCTGTAGTTAACGTTAACGCTAAAGCAACTGCTATCGATATTGTTTTAGCTGTTCGCATTGTATTGAATTTTTTAGCATGCGGACTACATGTGATGCCACTGCGTAACCGCCACATTCGCATGCTCATTAAGACGAGCGATCTCCTCGTGCAGATTGTGTCCCAGCCACTGTAGAAAGATGCGATCGTAGGCAGCCTTGCAGAGCCTGAGCGGATTGCCGCGTCTCAGACCCTGATCCGTTTCGCCGTACTCATCCAAATAGGGTGGCTGGACAAAGCAGCCCTTGCCGCGGCCCAGATATACCACCTGGCAGTCGCGTATGCGCAAAAATATGCCCACCTCGGCGCCGCAATCGTGGGCGTGATGCGTACAGGCGCCCACCGCCGTCTTGCCCAGCTCCGGCTGGCAGCAGTACGATTGACCGCACAGTATGGTGCCGCATATTAAGCACATGGTCGGCGTTTTCATCTCCTCGCGTTCGTTGTTTGGACAGAAGATGTCCGAGACGCTGTTGATAAGATCGCTGTAATCCTCGTAAAGCGGCACCAGATGCGGCAACGGCCGCTGGCATGGCACAATCGATATCGTATTCGAATGCGCCTGCGATGATCCGGGCGTCGCCTGTTTGATGGCGCAGCGCCTGCTGAGCTCGCGCTTAATGTGGGGATGCGAGGCGAAGCTCTGCATTATGGGGGCGTACACCGATTCCATGTCAAAATACACGCCCAGCTGGGGATCCAAGCCCAGGTACTGGCACATCAAGCCGAAACGATCAGGCTGGTCAGTGGGAAAGGAATCGGGAAAATCGATGTCGGTAATGCAGCGATAGAAGAGACAGGAGCTACGCAGGAATGAGCGCATCTGGCGGCGCACATACTCCAGCAACTGAGCCAGACACTTAACCGGGTCGTCCAATAGCGCGCTCACTTCCATCTCCATATCCATTTCCTCAAACTCTTCTCTCGGCTGCCCGTTCCGCTCGAACTGGCGAACTCCCAACGCCAAATTGTGCTTAACATAGAAGCTGGCCATGTTGTGCCTGATCTTAGACGGCAGATGCTCCACGTACTGCAACATCGCTGCCAGCTGCTTCTCCTTATCCTCATCCGGGCGAGAGGCCACTTCTGCCTCGTAGTCAAAGCAAATGATAGCCTTCGTTATATTGGCCAGGAAACACGTCTGAAGTATGTAAAAGTCAAACATGCTGCCGCTGGGCAACATCGTCTTGTTCTCTGTAAATAGAAAGTGATTACATATAGTGCCGTGCACTATAAATGTGTGTGTGTGAGTAAGAGTAAGAGTGTGTGTGGGTGGTAGGTATATATAAAGTAGTATGTCATCATCCTGAACGGGGCGAATAAGAAATATCCCATTTTTTACAGGAGCTACCTTTTGGGACAAGGTTTCGGTAAGCTTTACTGTGTAAGCTGTAACTGTGGAAAATTGGTAGAAAGCTGTTGCTTGAAGCTTGTTTGTTTAGCATCCGATCGGTTTCAAACCTTTTGGAAAATCTATCCACAAGTTATGAATGCAAATATTTTGTTTCTATCCGATCGGGCTTCAAACTCATTTTCACTTATCCATGAAAGGATTATTTGCAGAAATATCAACGAGATGTTTGGAAAATACACGCTCTGTGTTCCTCGGATGGGGGTCAAAAATCATATGGACAAAACCCACTAATTACTTACAAGAAAAATGTAGTTGCATAGATAATTATGTAAATACTCAATCAATTGCACAGCAAATTTGAACTATAAATAAGGCAAGTAACCAAATTAAAGGGTTTAACTAAATAAAGTTGCATGAAATAACTGCAATATATCCAAGGTCAAGCTAGTTGGAGCTTTCTTCGAGAACACAATGGGTACTTGACATGTGCATGCCAAAGTTTATTAATGTAGTTAAACTATGCATATCTAAAGGTGTGACTGATTTAAATCAACTAGAACTATTGTTGCTGATGACCGAGAACATGTACTTCAGGGTGCTTTAGCATAAAAATTGAATACCCCTTCCTATAAGTACTTACCATCGGCGGCGACAAGATTGGGCACAGTAAAGTTGAGCTGTACCAGCATGCGGAAGCAGTCCCATTCCAGGACGCTGGTGCCCTTCTGGTTGAATATGGTCTCACACAGCTTGGCGCCATGCACGCTCTGCCTGGTGATGTGCGGCTCTTTCAGACTGACTGAGTAGAGAGCGCATGCACGCACCAAATTGCTAACGCAGCTTTGATGCCGCATGGGCAGTTCGGCCTTCAGGGGCTTCTGTATGGCATATAGATAGACCTCTAGTGCCTGCAGCGTGTAGTAGCAGGTGTCCCAGAGCAGCGACACGGTGTCCAGATCGCTATCTTCCGCATTTGGCGAATCCTCTGACTGCTGCCCCTGCAGCTGGCTCTGCATGGCGTTGCGTAGCGCCGTATGGAACGAGCCCATCACTTCTGTCCAGTTAATATGCAGGGTA